TCTTGCGAGAACAGGCGCGGCGGTGCATGTGCTGGGGCTGGAGGTTGCCCGGGAGGCATTCGTGTGTCTGCGTCTGGCTGTCCTGGCTGCTGCCTCTGCGTGTCCTTGAAATCCTGCGCTGTGAATGTGCCGCACCGCTCCGGAGGCACAGCAGACTTTTATTTCCGTCCTTGTCACGCTTTGGTTTCGGGTAGCCAAAGATCTCGGTGGAGTGCATGTGTTTCCCCAACTCTGGAACGCCTGCCAGAGCTGGAAGCGTTTTCATTAACAATTACATGATGGAGTGGTGGCGAGACTGGGAAGGTGGAGGACGTTGATTCACCAGGGAAACAGGGAAGTGCCGCGATGAATTCCCTCTCTTTAAACCTGTTCTTACTTGCACCGTATCTGGTGGCCGTGGAATACCGAGGTCTGGCGAGGAAGAGGGGGGGGCAGTGGGCAGCGTCTGTGATGATGGGATACGCAAGAGTAGGTGGAGACTTTGCTCCTCTGTTTCTATGGGATACGTCTAGGATTTTCACAGCTCTGTCTGTGCATAATTTTCAAGGAGGATTAAGGAATTCGTGTAATACTTATGAAAATCGGGTGTTGGATGGTGCTTCCGTTTATTAAAGGAACTTGTAGCCAACAGAGAAAGCTGTTTCTGCTGTCTGAGGCTGTAGTAACCTCAGCATTGCGCTCCTTTTGATGTCGGAGAAATGTAGGTGTTGGATTGCTTTCTAAAAAGTTGTTTTTTAGAAGTGCGAAGAAATTGAGTGCTGAAATGCATACTTTCTGTTTTAATGGGAATACTGTTTAATACTCCTTTTATTCTTTAGAAAAATATACTTTTCACATTAGCTCTGAGGCAGTCATTATCCTTGTGCATGTTTTATGAGAACTGAAATTCAGAGACTTTTCAAATTCAGTGCAAGGAATCCCATGAAGTTGTTGCCCAAAGAATCCTCAGGCAGCTGTAGTTTCCTCCCCGCTTATGATGAAGAGCATTTCCAATTCTTAGTTGTTCTTGGAGTATGTTCTTTGCAGAGAGGCTTCTCTGCATTTAATATTTTCCACATTAATATCTGATTAACTGTACTTTCAAGATATTAGCAGAGGGATTATGAAGGATGTACAAGTTGGCAATTACAGCATCTGGAGTACACGTACACTTAAAGGCAATGGGTGTCTCACTTAAAGTGACATTTTCCTTGCCCTTCTCTGTCTCAAAATGCAGTAATACAAGACAACTTGAGGAACATCCTTTCTAACACTGTTATCTTGAGGCAAACCAGAAAGGTCAATAGAAATGTAACAAATTTATTACTGTTATGTAAGTTTGTAATAGTTGCTAAACCTTTACTTCAGACAGGATTTGAGTGATGTAGACAGATCTAACTCTTGAATTGTTAAAACTTTTCTTCCTATTGCACAAAGCAACACAGTAAATGTTTTAAATGTTTCTATACAGGTGCTTACGTCATTCAATACTTAAGTTAGCTAATAGTTAACATGGATTGGAGATGTCCCAAATACTTGTGACTTACTCCCAGAAATCCAGAGTCTGCTGCATCTGTGTAGCACTGTGTAAAAATACCTGGGCAAGCCAGTAACCCTTTCATGTGCAGGGTGCTGTTATTAAGCCATGTAAAGATCCTGGCACGGGGCCTAAAGATAGGACAGTCCTGGCTGTGCTCTTTCTGGGCAAGGCTCATCAGTGCAGCCAGATTCCAGCTTTGAAGCTGGCTCAGATACCTGTGCAGTGCTGCTGTGAACATCATCATTTACAGCATACAGACAAAAGCAGTGTAGACTTGGGGAAGATCTGTATTACCACAGTTTAACGTAGGATTCTTAAGTCATAAATCCAGTATCCCTGTTGTTAAAACATTCAGGTGGTCCTTTGTCTGAAATGTACATCCTGTAGTCTGATGCTTGGGATTGTTAGTATTTGTAAGATGCGTATCATCTTGGAAGTTTTAGAACGAATATTTCTAGAAAGAAAGGAAAAAGATTTTGCTATGAAGCCATCCATTTTGGTAGAACTTGTATATTTTAAGGCTTTTGGCCCTTGCATCTCTTTGGAAGTTAACTGATGCTTGGCTTTTTCCGAACTTGCAATTCCAGCTAGTCTGTTGTACGTGTTTCCAGTGCTCCTAGCACATTAAACTCATGGCTAGTGGCCCTTTCAGGTGCTCTCCCTCACCACTGTAGTTTTGTGGGAAGAGAGCCAATTGTTGATAGCTCATAATGTTTTAGTAACTTTTTTCAGACCACGTATGTTTAATGTGATCACATGCTGTAATTAAGATCACAAAGGTAACATCTTCTTCAAAACAATGCAGGGAGAGGATTGAAATGTCCTTCCGGTGAGGAGAGTTGCTACCTTAGTGAAGTCTGGGTACTGCTCTACAGCTCTCTTCAAAACAAGCTGAGGGTAGTGGTAAGGGAAGCAGTTCAGTATCCTTGTATCCTTAGGGTGGATGTTCTTCCTAGAGGACTGTTTTGGATACTGCAGAAGTTTTTGGTGCCAAAGAGAGCACAGTCATTTTTTGGCATTGTTGCTTCCCAGCCAATGGAAGAAGAAACCATCCATCCCTCTGTGCTGGCAGTGAGTAATTGAAGTAAACCCTGGCAGGAGGTGTGGTGTGTCAAGTAGCTTCTGACTTGATGCTTCATGCTCTGCGTGGGATATGTGCCAGTAATTTGTCTGTCAGCAGAGTCAGATTCCTACACTGAAAAGGTGATACAATGGCAGTAGTTTGTAAACCATTTGCTTACTATATAAAGAGCTCTTTTATCTGACCTTCGTTAATTATCACAAGGTATGATTGGGAATTGTAGCATTGTGATGTTAAAAATGGTGAAAGCTGAACTACATATCTGAAAATGTAGGGCAATGCCTTGTCTGTTTGCAGCAGTGAAATCTGGAGGTTTTGCATGTTCAGTGTGGTGTCACAGAGAAGAGGTTGCTAGAGGATACTCTCAAATTACAGTGGCCTCGTTGTAGTGATGATGGAGAGGAGGCAGGAAGTAATCTGCTGTAGTGACCTTTATACATTCATTAAACAATTACAATTACATTTGAACTGTATGAAATCTGGCTTGTGTCTGTTACTTACTCCTGAATGGTTTTAGCCAGATTCATTCCTTTTTGGGGAAGAGTTCTATTTCAAATCTGTAATGTGAAGTATGGTGATAGTAACTTCCAGAAAAAAACCCAACCATTTCCAAAGATGGTGGTGAGGGGGGCCAGATGGTGACTGGGGCCAGATGGTGACTGTGACCTGGGGCAGCCTTTGCTGAGCCAGAGGGTGTTCAGTGGTGACACAAGAAACAGTAAGGGTCTGTGGACTGCATTAGAGCTTCCAAAACCCTGGGAGCTGTTCCCAGATATCCTTCCTTTTGCCTGTTTGCAGCATATACTTGGTAGTCCTCAGTTACGGACGTACTCAACAGCTTGTGGGCTGTTCAGCTCCCCTGGCCTTAGATGTTTGGGGTTTTTTCCAGTTGTTGTGTCAGGATTGTTGGTAAGGGCTCTTGCAATGTGAATGTGGTCCTGTCAAGACTCAAGGGTTTATTGAGTCAAAAAAACCTGACTGGTAAAGTTCAGGTTCTTAAACTAAATGTCACAGGCTTCTTTTCACAGTTACCTGTGACCTAAAAATGACTATTCATGCCTTTCCTTCATGATGAGATCTGTAGAAACTTTTACAGAATTCCTTAAATGCAATTATAATGACAACAGTTGCAGTGCATGCAGTTTCTAAACTAATTTGAAAAGAATAACTAGAATTCCACTTCAAGTTCTGGTACTTTATGCAGTAATGCTCTTAAACACCACATCCATATTCTGCTACTTGAATTTTTGTAGATATTCTACAGTAGCATGGAAATGTTTTATGATGTTATCTTTTAAAGCTGATTTTTTTTTCTGTTCTTACTTAGAGCATGTATATCTTTAGGATCCAAGACCCGAGCCATTGGGAATGCAGCAAAGAGCCAGGTAAATGGATCATAAACTTTATTGTGACTTATTAGACTTATGTCCTGTTGAACTGTGGGAAGACAAGTAACAAATAAAGTTGATAATTTTATGTTTTGAACTGAATTTTCTGCAGTAAGTGTATATTTCACAGTTACTGCTTCAACAATATTAACAACCCTGTATTAAAATTGCAACTGTATTTCTGCATTGTTTTGTCATGGGGGGGGAAGAGAAGAAACAGAAAACCTTGCTTGTTCACCAGTAAAATAATATTATTTTCTTGCTTACTCATGACAGCAGGAATAGAGTTCGTAATTAAATCTCTACTAGGGCGGGGAGGGATAATGTGCTTATGCTTTAGAAAAGCTGAAACTGAAGTTGAACAGAGTTTCATAGAGATACTGGTTGTTGCTTATAATGGGAAATGAATGCATTTTAGTTATGTACTATCTCACTTTGGAGCTTTGAACGGAAGTGAAATTTCTCTGATCCTCAGTAAATTCACTTGTAACCTAGGAAAACCTCCCTTTGGGGAAAAAAAACACATGTTAAAGATTTGTAATAGACGATATGAATCTACAAATTCAAAATAGGTCAGGTCTTGCTTTCTTTTTTTGTGTCCATGCACGATGTTAGCATGTTGAAGATTTCCTTCCCCTTAGATTTGCCTGGCAGATGTGAAGGTAGTAGAGCCCTCCTGATGTACCATGAGCAGGCAGTAAATGCAGAAGCCATATTGCTTTCATTCTGAGCAACTTTACACTTTTTATCTGAGCTCAGCCCCTGAACTTCGCTGCTGAGAAAGTGTCTTGTCAGTATTCCCAGCTAGGAAATTTGCTGTTTAGATTAGTAAGGTAGTGCATCTTGGACAAGATTACCCTGAAATAGTTTCTTTTGATAGCTTAAATACTGTGTTCATTGGGATTTGTTTCTTCTGGCCCTTTCTTTGCTTAAAAGCCTGTCCTTAAAGTAACTGGGTTAAAACACTGATGAGAGAACAGGTGTGGGGAGACTTCACATCCAGTTGGGATTTGAATTAGAGGAGAACTTCAAAGGAAGTGAAATGTGTTCATTAGTTGAAGGTTCATATAAGGTTATTGTTGGTAATAACTTCATTTATTCCTACTGACAACCATTGCAACAATATACGATCTCAAATATTGCATAATGTATCAGAAAGTTCCTCTAATGTAAAAACCACCATGAAAATTGATGGCAGCAAGCTAATGAATATTACAGAGAGAAGTAAACTTGAATTTTTTTAATGGAGGTCATAGATTAAAAAATAGGTTCTTCTTTCTCTCCCCACACGTTTCTTTCCAGTGAACGTGTAGGGCTTTACACAGGTCAGTGTGTGAATTAAACCCAATATAACAAGAGTTTCTTTCTTCACAGTCCTCTGTAGCCTGCATGTCACAGGTAATTAAAATATGTTTTCCACAGATTGTCACAAATGTAAAAAATGCATTACATGGTTTCAAAAAACTGCATGGAAGAGCATTTGAAGATCCTTACATACAAGCTGAGAGGGCCAAACTTCCCTATGAACTTCAGAAGATGCCTAATGGCTCCGTGGGAGTAAAGGTGAGTTAAAGCTTTGGGCAGAGTACTTTTAGAGGTAGATTTGGACCTTTGTCACTTCTTGCATGAACAGACTTACATTTTCCCTAAGAAGGCTCTAAATATATTCCTGTTTCTCTAAATAAGTCCTGTACTTTCTAACCAAGATGTTGATCGAGGTTTCTCATCAGTTGTATTTGCTTTCCACAGTACTTTCCGTTACTAGCTTTTCACCTTACCCTACTAGATTTACCTTCAAATATGTTCAAATACCTTAAAAAACTACTGTGTGTGATTATTAGTTTCCCTCTGAGTTTAGGTCTTAGACATGCAGAGACCAAGTTTTGGGAAAACAAGATGATAATGCTCTGAATATAAAATCTGAACAAGTTATTTGTAATTTGCTTCCAGACTAAATGGCTGGAAACTGCTCTTCTCAGAGTTCAGGCTTTCTGGCTTCAATTTCTGAATGTGTTTATTTTTTTAGCATTTTAATTTGGATCAGGAATGCACTTTTGAAGCAGATTTCCCAATCGTCCTCAGTGCACTTTAAGTTGATTTTTGACAGGGCTTCATACCACAGAGTGGGTTTTATTCTGTACACCTGGTCATATCACAATAATTGCCAGTGTAAATATACATCCTTCTGGTTTTCCCTGCACAGGAGTGCTTGGGATTGCTAGAGAGACAGTAGTCTCTTAGGAATTCAGGACACATGAAGGCTGAAGGTTCAGATGTGTTTCCTGAGCAGAGCAGGACTGTTAGAATTGCCTTGTTTGCACCTTCCCTGCCTCATGTGCTTAAGTGACCCTTGCAGGAAGCAAATGTTCCTTGGGTTTGCTCCAAAACTCTTATTTTCAGCTTATGGTAGGGTTATGTATTGTGCTTTGTTGTTGTTGTTTTTTAAATTAAAAAAAACAAACATGAGCAACAGAAATACTGTATCGTTGTGAATAGCCCCTTGAGATAACTGAGGTGTTAAGTTTCCCACAAAACAATTTTCACCTAAACTGAACTGTTTTAAGATTTGTTGTAGGTGGCACAGATCTGTAGCATCAATTGATATGGCGTTATTTGTGTCTAAAGTCTGGTATTAAGCTTCATCACATCTTCAGAGAAAAGTTGAGATGATGGATTACAGAATCACAATTCTCTGTTTCAGGTGAGATACCTTGATGAAGAGAGACTTTTTGCAGTTGAACAGATTACAGGAATGTTATTGGCCAAACTGAAAGAGACTTCAGAAAGTGCTTTGAAGAAGCCAGTGGCAGACTGTGTAATCTCAGTAAGTGGTAATATATTTATTGTAATCTATAGATAGCTTTACGTAAGCTAGGACCAGTTATGCCATGGTGCTGTGGGAATAGATACAAGTAGTGGATAGAAATTGTATCTCCAAAAATAGGCCTTTGTTAAAGGTTTTCCAAATGAGAATGCTTTTGGAATCGTATGTGAGAAGATGAAAAATTTGTTAAATCAAGAGCGTGTTTTCAGAAAGAACATATTGCTTAAGCTAATCCAAACTGTCTATCTACAAGGGCTGCGTATAGTATTCCTGATTACTGTAGTTCCTGTTATAAATGGAAGCTGTCCTATGCATAAGCATATCCTCCTTGATTCCAAAGAACCTTCCCAAATTCATGTTAAATTTCTTTGTTATTACCTAGTTGAGTGCTGTTGTAGTGCAGTTGAGAGTTGCCTAAACTCTCTGAGGGTCATAGTAACAATTTGATAAGCCCAAATTACTTGGCTTTGTTTGAAAAAGTCTTTTTATTTGGTTGGTGTGGCCGTTTGAGCCACATTAGAAATCTAAAATCCAATTTCCAGGCCTCCTCCCACCCTTCACACAATTATCCTAACACCAGAGAGAAACTTTCAGGCTAGAGGATTCTATAGGGGAAGGGGGAAGTATATACATTTATTTACACAAATAAATACTATACAAACTAAAGGCAACTATATATAATATTACATTACTATCAGTCAGTCCTTTCAAGCCCCTCCTTTAACTTTAGTCCAGAAGCAGCCTTTAAGGCTGATATGTAACAGTCTGCTGTGGGAGTGTTCTGGGCTCCTGAACGCTCCCTCCTCACCAGGTCCCAGCAGTTGTTTGTTGCAGTCTCTCCTCACGTGGTCCAAGAAGATAGCTTTGAGTCCTTGCTTTTCTGCTGCTGTGTGATTTCTCCCTCTCGGTGTCTCACCTCGGTTCGTAGGCTGCTGCAGTGTAGCTTATCAAGTGTCCACATCCTGCAATCTTCATTCCTCCACATCAGTTCTCAGCTGCCCCCGGTCAGCTTCAGCAGGCAACCCTCAAGCTCTTGGCTCATCTCCAATTTCTCCTGGGACTCTTCTCCCAAGCGCCAAGCTGATTTATCAGCCCGTCCACTTGGCTCTGCTCAAATGCTGAGCCTTAAAATCCACCCCCCACCAGCCTAAATGTAGTGGGGGGGAAGAAGCCCCCTAGCCTTGGCCACAGGCAGCTCGGTTCAGTTATGCACTGTCCCAAGCGTCCCGCAGCTGCAGGGGGAGGAAAGAAGGCCTGGCCTCCTCCCTCTTACCTCAGGTGCTGTGAAATTCTTCTTTAACAGCACACACTCCAAATGCTGACTCTAATTCTAGCCAAAGGCTGAGCTGGGGGGTCGCAGGGCTCCCCTCTCCCCTCCAGAGGGGAAGAGAGGGAGCCCAGCCACCCCCTGGCCTTGTCCACCTACACGCAGCAGACACCAACAGCAAAACAACCAAGACAGAACTTCCAACAGCTTCCAGTGCTGTGATATATGATTTTGAGCAGAAGCGAACAACATGAGTGGTGACTGGCTCTCCAGGGAACACTGCCCTGGCACCCAATCACCTCTGAGCCCCTCAAACCTCTCAGGGGGGCCAGTCTCAACCTATGACCGTTGGTTTGCCCATGATTTTTCTAGCTGATGGCCTTCCCCGTGAGGAGGTTTTGTTCCTGATACGAATTCCTGTGTCTGCTTTTCACATGGTTTTTGTTTACTGGCTCTGCTGGGAAGTCTGGGCATGAGGGATTGGAGAGACATTGCATCTGTCAGAGACATGGAAACTGGAAAGTCATGTAATTTAGCTGTTAGAAATCCACTTTGATGTTTTTCCTTGCTTCCTTTTGGTATACAAAGACACTTAGAGAGCACCTCCCACGCACAGAGGGATACACCACAGTGGTAGCCAACAAAACACACTGTGAATGTAGTTCTGACTGACACTGAAGATGTGCCAGCTAATGGCAGCCAGTTTCTAAATGGGTTCTGATTATGCTTTGGCTATTTTTGATGGCACTGAATGTTGTAGCTCCCTGTAAGCTGGCACTGTGCTGGAGGTGATATTTGAAAAATGAATACAGGTTCAGGTTGCGGCATCACTGCAGTGCTTCTGCCTGTAACTTATTTTTGGGCCATGTGTGAATATTTATTGTATTGACTTTGTCCTGCACAAATGTTTTCAGTAACTAGTAATGATTTTAAGAATCTGAGAAAGCATTTTTAGGGGGATTTTTTGTGGTGCTTAAATCGACTTTATTTAAAACAACTTTGGATGCCACTTCATTTTTGTCAAATTTTGAAATCTTAATTAAAAGATGAACTAAAATGAATTAGCTACCTCTTTAATTCAGACTGCCTTATTAATTTGTGGCTAGCTCATAACAGTTTCTTGTGGCAATGACATTTATAGGGTAGCTTAATGGGCAAGTCTGACTTATTTAAATTAAAAAATCCATATTCCATAATACCCTGTGTTGTTGTTTTTGGAAACAGGTCCCTAGTTTCTTCACTGATGCTGAAAGAAGGTCTGTAATGGCAGCTGCGCAGATTGCAGGATTAAATTGTCTGAAGCTGATGAATGAAACTACCGCAGGTAAAGGGCAGAAACTTTTTTTTTCCTTTTAAATCTATTCAGGCTCTTGAATGTAAAGGTGATGACATCCTGCTCTTACAAAATTAGGAGCTTGAGAAAGAGCCGTCCGGGCTGGTACTGCCCAATCCAGCTTGGGAACTGGAAACACCGCAGTGGGGTGGTGTGCAGCACTTAGGAGGCGTGATGGAAGTTGGGGTTTGCTAACTTGAATGCAATGCCACTGGGGGATAGCTTTGGAAAGCTGGCATCTGTGCTTACCTTTCAACTGTACCATGAACCTACTGGAACTGTATCAGGAAGGCCTGAGCTACCTTCAGAATCTCTTCATGATCCAGCTGGGGTGTGCACCTGACCTAAATTCTTAATTGCTGTACTAAATAATAGTACAGTACAATATTATCAGATGTGTCTAAAACATTATGGTAAATACATTCTTTAACATAGGTGTGTAGTGGGGCCTTCTAATTTTCTTTCCAGCTTTCTAGAAGATGAGTATATTGAAGTAAAAATAAAACTCATGGAAGTATTAGAGACATACTTTTATCATAAGCTAATACTTAGTTGAAATGATAAACATTGAAGGGAAGTTATAAAGTATAATCCAAAGATTTTTCATTTTGAACTACTTAATGTGTATGCTTTAAGAGCTGCTTCTACACAAATTGCATTTTTATGCACTTCTCCAAAAGTGGATTTGCTGATCGTATTTACAGACAACTTGAACTATATGACTTTTCAGATATCCAAGTCAACTGAGTTTGTGGGGTAATGACAGTTGAAACTTGAGGCAATCCTGTCAGCTGCAGCAGTGGGACAACTGGTTCTATAAAGTAACTTCCCTCTTCTGGTCAGGGTAGAGCACAGAAATACCTAACACTTTATGGGAACTAAACATGGAGCTGTTTAAATCGATAACTTTTATTTTTCTTGATCAAAGTTTTCTTTGCACTTAGAAAGTCTCAAACAACTTTCCAAATGAGTGCTGGGTAGTGAAATCTTAGATTTGTGTAAACTAGTCTTCTAAAACACTTTTTTTGTTGTTGTTTCTTGGGCATGCATGAGTTTTGCAAAGCTAAGATAAAAAATAATGAAAGTAAAGCATTTCAAGGGAGAGGTGTAAGCATGAGGCTTAATCTGTGCAATTTCACAAATTACAATGTTAATTTGGCTGCAAGCAGAACTGAATTACAGGGTGATGCTTCAGTAGTGTTAAACCTCCACTTGACATTTCTTTCATCTCTTGTCAATGAAAAATGTGTTTTCAACATCTTTTCAACATTTGAGCAGTTATGGAGGTGTTTAGAAAGGGTAAAGAATGGGTAGTGTGTGTCTTTTGGTAGTGCTTTTAATTCACACTTTACATCTTGCCCTTAACTTCCATGGGCTGATGTTTTTCAGTTGCATTAGCCTATGGAATATACAAGCAAGATCTGCCAGCCTTGGAAGAGAAGCCAAGAAATGTGGTCTTTGTAGATATGGGACATTCTGCATATCAGGTTTCCATCTGTGCTTTTAACAAGGGAAAACTGAAGGTAATCTTTTAAGTCATGCATTAAAATTCCATATGCCTGAAGTATTTAATATTCAAAATACTGCTCTTTGGAAAGATTATTTTTTAAATGTCTATAGCAAATACTTTTAAAACGTGGAATACAAAACTCTTCTGTTGTTTTTTGCTATTTCAGTGAGTTTTTGTAAAATGCAGAAGTGAACTATCCCAAAGTATGTTTTGAAAAGTGCTTGATAATTGACCACACTGCAGTTTTTGTGCCATGTTATATTACTGATATATCTGCATAATCAGGTAGTCTCAAAAGCATTGTAGTTGTGCAGCTGACTTACTCATGGGAAATTCTTGAACTGCCCAAGTCACTCCATGATGCCGGGGTTTTTTTTCCAAGTTGAAAGTCTTAAATCCAATAGGATGCAAGGTAAAACTGAACAGTTTTCACTTCCTGCTTTGGAGACTTTTGTCTATGAGCTGCTACTGGCTGAATGCTTTTGTGAACTTGTCTTTGGTAGCAAAATGCCATTTGAAGTCATGTGGAAGATGATAGCACATTTTGCTCTGTTGAGTAAATGACACAGAACAAACATTGTCTAATAACTTCTCATCTTTCTTTCACTTCTGTCAGGTCTTGGCTACTACCTTTGACCCTTTTGTAGGTGGTAGGAATTTTGATGAGGCTTTGGTAGACTACTTCTCTGAAGAATTTAGGACAAAATACAAACTGAATGTAAAAGAGAATCCGCGAGCACTGTTGCGATTGTATCAGGAATGTGAAAAGCTCAAGAAGCTTATGAGTGCAAATGCTTCTGACCTTCCACTCAATATTGAGTGCTTCATGAATGACCTTGATGTCTCCAGTAAGATGAACAGGTGCGGTGTGCTGTTTTCACTGAGGTGCAGGGGAGGGTGGTCTCTAAGCTGCCTCATAACGTGGAACACTCTTCCTGTCCTGCAGAGCTCAGTTTGAGCAATTGTGTGCTGCCCTTCTGGCCAGAGTGGAGCCTCCTCTAAGAGCAGCCATGGATCAAGCAAGTAAGTAGGAGTTAATTTAGGTACTGCTAGTAATCCAGTTATCCTCGATCTCCTTAATGATTATCTTTTTAATATATTTTTGTATTTATTAGAATTGCAAAGCTAAGTACTGAAAAGTTAAATGTAAGTTCCATTCATACGCTTGTCATGACTGCATGATCCCATTCCTGCCTCATTTATTGCACATGCCACTCTGCAACCTTGGTTATTGACCCTCATTCACCCTGTGTCATGGAAAAGGCTGGCATTCCGAATTGATTTAAAAAAACACAAAGCCAAACCAAGCCAAAATGATGATGGGGAAAAAATATTATTCTTTACTGCAACCTTTGGGCCAGCCTGTTCCATGTGATACATACATGTCTTCACTGACCTGAGAATTTGGCAGTATGTTCTTAAAACAAGTTACCAGAAGCATGTGCAAATAACAAATTAATTTCTTTTTTGCCTAATGTAGTGTAAAGGAGAGAATTAGACTTTAACGGGAAAAGGTTTTACCCCTAATTCCAACATCTTCATCTAAAAGAAAGGGAAGAATTCTGCTTCTCTTGTGACTTGGCTAGATAGCTAATACAGAAATTAACAACCTGAGTAACATCTGAGCAGAGCTGTTCAAGGACCGATAGTTTGAGATTATTTATACACATAACTTCTTAATTCTGAATTCAAGATAACCTGCAAACACAGTCTACTATTTTTTACATATATTTAGCTAAAGGTTTTGCTTTACATTTTTTGGCAACCAAAATTGAGCCAGCCATAAGATGAGGTATATTTGGGTTTCATTTTGTTGTTCAGGAGAGGTGAGGTATTGTCCAGTAGGACAGGGCTCCTAAAGAAGACCCAATTTTACACTTTTGGGTCTATGCACACCAGAAAGGGGATGCACATGCTGTTCTCATTGATGCTTGGCTTCTGCATTTCCCAGGTTTATGCAACTAGAAACCTTTGTAGCCTGCAGGAGGGACAGTTACAAAGATCTTGCCAGTTGTTAAATGCGTTCAGTGCTTGTCACAGTGTTGGATAATAAGAGGACTCTTACCTTTTCTTCTTTTTTTTTTTAGTTGTCCAAAGACAGCTTTTTGAAATCTTGATGATAATTTAAAGCCATGCACTCTCTTTTCTAGAACTTCAGCGTGAAGATATCTACAGTATAGAAATAGTAGGTGGGGCTACTAGAATTCCAGCAGTGAAGGAACAGATCTCTAACTTTTTCTGTAAAGAGATAAGCACCACACTAAATGCTGATGAAGCTGTTGCAAGAGGCTGTGCCTTGCAGGTATAGTTATTGAAATAAAACTTCGGTATTGCTACTTTAACATCATGTACTAATGAAATAAAACTAACCACAAGCAAAAGGTGCTACAGCTGAAATAAGATACAGAGTCTTACTTCTTTCAGCAGTTTGTCAGAAATTATTCTGTTACATTCATTAATTTGCTGCTGTGTCATGTTAAAAGGATGGTCTTGTTAGAGACCTGTTAAGTTTGATGACCGAGATTCTGCTGTTCCACTTCCGTGTAGTCGTTCGAAAGCTTTGCTGGGTATCTTCACTGAAAATCACTGGGGAAGTAGCACCTATTACTTTAGTTAAGTCTTTCAGTTCAATTAACTATGAGAAGGTTCTGTTAAAAAAAATTCAATGATAAGTAGGACCTCCATATGATCAATTTGATTTGTAGCCTTTTAGCACTTAAGTATTAATTCTTGTACTTGTTATTTATTTGACTATATGGATATAATAAAATTTTGGTCTTTTTTTTTTTTTCTAGTGTGCAATTCTTTCCCCAGCTTTTAAAGTGCGTGAGTTTTCCATCACAGATGTTGTTCCTTACTCTGTAACATTGAGATGGAAATCATCTTATGAAGAAGGAACAGGGTAAGTTGGTACAGTGCCGACTGAAAAGTGTATGTTTGTACATCAAGAAAAATGTTGAGCTGTGGGGAAAAAAAACAGGCCTCTGGCTTTGAAGCTCTCATCCACTTGAACTGTTTTAGATTTTTTTTTTTGCACTGTACCTTTTTGCTTTCCAGTTACTGCTTAATAATTGGAAATACATTTAATTAAGAAATGTTGCAGTGAAGTTGCTTAGTTTTTAATAAGTGTCATCTTGAATGCAGAGTCCAGCTTTGAGACCAAGAGGCTTTCAACCTCCAAATGTTGTCATAAAATGACTTAAATTACTCAGCTGTTTGCATGGCTGCTGATCATTAACATACCTGGATTTTCATTATCCATTAAATTATGCTCAGAGGTTTAACGTCAGTTAATGTTTTACTGCTTTAGGGAGTGTGAAGTCTTCAGTAAGAACCATGCTGCTCCATTCTCAAAAGTAATTACTTTTCACAAGAAAGAGCCTTTTGACCTGGAAGCTTATTATACTCATCCGCATGAAGTGCCTTATCCTGATTCCAGAATAGGTAAGGAAATGTGAATAGAAACTCCTTACCCAGCTCCTGTTGATATTGGGAAGAATGGTTCTCCTTTCTTCTAAGATAGGTCACTTCCATATTTCCTAGTTTATAGTAAAGCTTTGGTTCTTTAGAAAGGCTCAGCACAGTGTTTTTGGTTTAAATGTAGTGATCAAACAGTATTGACATCTTTGTTGGACAGTTCCTTAAAAAATTTCTGCTTCATTTTATCTTTAGTTTCTGAATGCTTTAAAACAAGTAGGTACAAGGAGTTTTTAGTGCTCGATTGTCTGGTTCTTTCAATTTCTATAAAATTGATAAAGACATTATGTGCCAGCTAGCCTGGATTTTTCAAAGAAATTGGATCGAAGGAGCTGTTACCTGTCTGGACAGGTAACATCTAGTGCTATCTGTCATGTCTCTTTCTCTTAATCTGAGAACATAAAAGATAGGCATTTCCTCAATTTAAGCATCTATAGTAGAGTCTAAAGAATTAGATGGTATGAATAAGTTTCTTGGTAGCTAATGCTGCCTTACTTGCAGTATTAATACACTCCTCAGGGTCTTTAATTCAGGATTTTATTTCCTGATTTATTAATCAGATATAAACTTTGTACTGTTTATTTAGCTGTCTATGCAAGAAGTCTGTGGTCTTCAGGAAGAAACGTTATTCTTTATGTGTGCACAGTCTGCATCATCTACAGTCAAATTTCCAGCAAATTGCAAAATGTATCCACCTCATTACTTCCAGAAGCCTTGATAAGAACTGTTCATTCTCCAGGAAGTGTAGTGCAGCCATGTTATCAAATTCATCATTCAGAATCTCTGTTAACATTTTATTTTGCAGTGTGAAGTTTGAGTTATGTGGACAAAAGAAACCATTTGAGATCATTGAGTAATTTCTCTAGTGTGATGGTTACAGAAGGCAACAGAGAAGTAGAATACCTAGTAAAGTGGTATCTTGCTTTTTTATGAAATACAGATAAAGCAAAAACATCTTACTAATTATCAGTGAACTGATAATAATTGGGGAACCAGGCTTTAGTTTATCTACCTCCAGCTTACATTGTAGGATTGACAACTAAGTAGAAAGTTTCCAAGTAGTTCAAGTTACATGAAGGTGCTGTTTAAATTAACACTCTTTCACTACTTTTTTGACACAACAGTTAAAGCTGTCTTTGTTGTTTTCAAGGGCGTTTCACTATTCAGAATGTTGGTCCCCAACCTGATGGCGACAGTTCAAAAGTGAAGGTGAAAGTGCGTGTCAATATCCATGGCCTTTTCAGCGTGGCTAATGCTTCCATAATAGAGAAGCAGAACATAGAGGGGGATCACAACGACACACCCATGGACACTGAATCATCAAGTAAGAACCAAGGCAGAGATGAAGAGCTGGTATGTAAACTTGGAAATATCTACACTGTAATTCTGATAAGAGAGCCAATAATTGCAGATTAAA